GTTATGATAAGTGGTCTGAGGGAAAAGCACAGGGTGTAGGGAGCTGGGGGATGCCAGCCTGGGACAGGGGAAACCCCCTGCCAGTGTCACGGTCATCCTCAGCCTCTTCCTGGACCTCTCCCACAAGCTCCCACTCACTCTGGCTCAGGAGGAGGAATTTGCCCTCCCCCACTCCTGGACAGACCAACAGACACTAAGGCCCTGTCTTATCCTGGAGCCCCTCAGACTGAACCAGCTCTGGACGTGTGTTTTAAGCCCAACCAGGCCCCTCCCACCTGTCAAAAGCTGGGGTCACCTGAAAAGAAATATGAAACACATCATCCCCTTCCTTCTGTTGCCTCCCCTCCCCACTGCAGGCCCTCTGCACTCCCCTCTCCTGACTGTTGCAAAACCCTGGGGTTACAGAAAGAGAATGGTTATGGCTGCTCCTTTGTTATGGGCTGAATTGCATCGAGTCCTAACTCCCTGCAACTAGAATGTGACTGTATTTGGAGATAAGGCCTTTAAAAAGGTAATTAAAGTAAAATGAGGTCATATGGGCAGGCCCCAGTCCAATATGGCTGGTCTCCTTATAAGAAGAGACTAGGACACAAAAGCCAGCAAGCCTGGAGTGAAGCAGAGCCCTGCCCCATGCCCCCCGCCCCACCCCCTGCCTCTTGTTTATGGGAAAGCTGAAGCCTCCTGGGCCTCCCTGAGTCTCAGGAGAGCAGGCTCAAGCAGTCGATGCCTAGGACAGCAGAGTCACAGGCTCACTGTCTGACACACATTCCTGAGTTGTTTTACAGGTACCATAACTGGCACCAGAGAGAGGGAGAAAACGCTAACTGCATGATGACCAGACTGCAGCCATGACACAAGCTGCTCCGTCTAGAGCAGGACTGAGTCTACGGCTAGCACAATGCCAAGAACTGGCCCTAAAGAGAATGAGCTTAACACTACTGCTCATAATCATCTGTATCTTTGTGGGCATCAAAATAATTCTAGTTTGTTCTGCCCCTGTATGGAAGCAGGCAACTAAAACTGTCAGCAAAGAGATGCTTCAACTAACCCCATGTTGATATCTTTTACCCTAAGACATCAACGGCTTTTTTATCAGCGTGAAGCAGTTACAGAAGACAGACCTTCACCCATAATCCATACAAATGGAATGACATCTGGTGTGGGGGCATTTGTAAGCAGCTCTTTGCAGAAAACCCCTTTTGCCTTGTCACTTTAGCAAAGGTACATTGTAATCAACTTTTAAATCTGGCATCCCCATGCTTTACAAAACTTTCGATCACACAATGCCTTGCCTTACCTGTTGGTTTTCACCATAGATGGGAGAAATAGAAATGGAGAATCAGTAATTCACAAATGACCAGGTCTCTTCCCTAGCTTCCCCTTCAGTAATCTTGTGAACAAACTGTGTGGACAAGATTGCATCTGAGGAAAAGGGGGTTGTGACAGCTCTGGTCCCCTGTCTCAGTGATCCACTGAGATTACTTCCTGTTTTCCCTTTAAAACTTTCATGGCTGAGTAGAAATTCAGAAATAGTTTTTGGGGACACTGAGTCCACTGTCTACCTCCCCAGGTTTCCGGCATTCTGATTAAAGGCAATTTTTCTATCAACATTGTCTCTTTCGAGCATTGATTTTTGAGCAGCGAGCAGCCAAACCCACGTTCGGTAACGAGACAAGAGGAGAGGCCCCAGGAAAAAGTGACTCTGCCAATGCCTTGATCTTGGGCTTCTAGCCTCCAGAACTGTGAGAAAATAAACTCCTGGTGTTTAAGGCACCCAGTCTATGGTATTTGTTATGGCGGCCCTAGCTAACTGAATCCTCTTCCATCCTCAATTCACAGAGGAGGCACTGAGGCTGGGATGGGAGTAGGGGAGGGGCACCATTTAGATGCAGTGAGGATGGGACCAGGACCCAACTGCCCAACTGGTTTCTCTACCTTTGGTTTGTACCCCCTGCTGTGTATGTAGATTCTGCTTTCTGAACACACCTCGGATTGAATTTCCCCACTCAAAACACCTTCAGCCACCCAGCTCTCACATACCCAGCAGGACAGGATCTGAACAAACTCTTTGGCTTGTACCCTAAGCCCTGCCAATTAGAACCTAAGTCAGTGCTTCTCCGACATTAACATGCATCAGAATCACCAGGAGAGTGTGTTAAAATGCTGACTCCTGGGCCCTGCCACCAAAGGTTCTTGTTCAGTACGTCTGGGGTGGGGCCCAAACATTTGCATTTCTAACCGGCTTCCAGGCGATGTGCACGCAGCCCTGGAATAGCTGCTCTGGCTAACAAGCCTCCTTTCCGCAGGGCCGCCCACGCACCCGCCCCCTCCAACAGAGCAGCTGATTGCTTTTCCCTCACCACCCCATGCCCTTGAGCCTTTGCCCAGCCTGATCCTGCCAGGAATTCCCTGCTGCCAAGTCTAACACTGGGGTCAGGTCCCAGGACCTCCCAACTCAGGATAAAGTTGACAGGGTGTGCTGCTTTTTAAAGGGAAAGCGTTACTGGAATTTGAACTAGAACTGGAATGACTCTAGTCCAAAGAATCATAGAGGAACTTGAGAAAGAAACGACACAGACATCTAGACCCACCCCCAGATACAGACCTCCCTTCAAGACACTGTGAGCCTGTGGTCATCCTTTCTATGTACAGATGATCAAAGGGAGTCCCAGAGAAGATAAGTGACTTGTCCCAGGGAACACAGCACATTAGAGCACACGCTGAGCAGGACCCCAGGTCTTCGGTGCAGCTGCGTGCTCCCCCCTGCCCACCTGTGTGCTCCCCACTGCCTTTTCTAACCCTAAGAGGGTCTCCTGTCTCCCTGCCCTTTCCCACCTCCCCTAACCCACTTTCCTATGACCCCAGATGGGCCCTCGCATTTCCAGCCAGTGCTGAAATGGAGTCCCAGAGGACTATACAACTTGCCAAAGGGACACGAGTAGGGAAAAGGACACGGAAATGAGGGAAAGAGACTAAAACCTTTTATGCAGAGGGGAGGCCACTCATTGGCGTTCAGGAAGCTGGAGGCGTGGCTTCTCCCGGGACCCACTCACTTGTTCTACCAGCCCTGCCTCTGACCCCAGGTGGGCTCAGACCACAGCCCTGGGAACCACAAACCCTTGCTGGCCCCAGAGGAGACAGACTCTGGCTTGTCTCGGCAACAGGCTGTATGCTTCATACCCTGAGGCACTGGTTAGTTAGTTGGTTAGTTCCTGCAAGCTTTGCACCCCTCAACACAGATTTCTGCTCACACCAGTCCAATCAGTGGGGCTGGAGCTGGGATGAGGCACTGGGGGTGACAGCTGCCCTCCCAGACCTGCTCCAAGTGTCATTTGGACCCTCCAGGTGCAGGTGAGACAAACAGCTGGGAGAGCTGCCCCAGACACTTAGGGTCCTGGCAGAGAAAGGGAAGTCATTCCAGTGGGCACAGGGTTCCTGGAATCGGGATCTGCAACCCAAGTCGGAGGTGCCCCACCCCCACCATGTCACCGGGAGAAACTCTGGACCCGCTGCCTGACACCCTCATTCTGCAGCCGCCAGTCTTCCACCCGGTAAGCAGCTGCTCGGATCTGGACCCTCCTGGGTCTCAGGGCTCCTCCTTTCCTCCTTCCAGCCGGGCCCAGACTCCTAGGTTGGGGGGTGGAGAGGCCCTCAGTTGTGAGCCCCGCTTCCCCAGCACCCGCCCATGGGCTCTGGAAGACCCTCCTGAGCTTGGCAAAGTGGCTGACCAGCTCATTCTCACTTGAGTGTCAGTTACTGTTGGGCTCACGGGGGTCCTTGCATTTTAAAAGTAATAGAGCCTGGAGACACAGTGTAGTGCCCTCCTGCATGATGGGTGGCCAGGAGGACCTGGGGGAGTGTGTAGTAGGGTAGGAGGGGGACACTGGTTACCTAGGAAGGGCAGTCGTATCTCCAGCCTGGAAGGGAGTCAGGTCAAAACCTCCAAGTCAGAGGTGGGGCTGGGGTCTCCTCGATTCCTTCTGTTTCCTCCTTCGGCTCCTGCAGGTGCCCTGCAGGTTTCCTGAAGCCTAGCAGTGCTTTACAGAAGGCTGAACTCCCAGCAGACTCCCCCCTCCCACTGATGAGCACTAATTATCACTTTCTCTTTACTTGGTCCTCTCCTCCCAGGAGAGCTCCAACAACTCACTTAATTACAGGCCAGGCCGGGAGCCTGGGAAGTGGGAGGGACTGACATGCTGAGCCTGGTTAAGCTGTGGGCGCTCTGGCAGCCCGGGGTCTCCTGCACCTTGTTTGGCAAGCTGTGAGGCCCCGCCTGGAGGGCAGCGCTGCTGGGTCTCAGCTCTTTCTAGGCGGTTTGGGCTTCTGAAGGCTGCTGGGAGTTGGAGAGCACCGCATGAGGGCCAGCCTTGTGATACTGCCCAATATGTACCAGCTGCTTGTTCACATTTACTCTGCAAACACCTCTTCAGAGCCCACGCTGTCCAGGCCAGGCACTGAGCCTAGGGAAGGGAAAGACAGGGCTTCAGCTGTGGGGGGCTCGTGCCTCCCGGCGTGAAGAGCCAGCCACACGTCACCCTGGAAGCCGGCCAGCCAAGGAGCAAACCAGCCATGCCAGCAGCGAGCACGGTGAGGGAAGGAATGATTCAGGCACCAAAATGGCTGATGCCTGGAGAAGGTGTCAGAGCCCGGAAAATCAAGTCAGATTTCACAGACTATAGGGGGAGCAGCAGAAACAGTCCCTGAAAAAGGAGGGAGTTGTATTTGAGGAACGCCAAGGGAAAGCTGAGCTGGGAAGGTAGGCTGGGGACATTGTCAGGTATCTCGCCCACGTCTGTATGAGGGTCTGCATTCAGGCCCCAACTAGTCCACCTTTCTGCCTCCCAGTTCCCAGACTCTGGCCAATAAGAAGTCCTCAGCAAGCCTCAACGCCAGGCTCCTGAAGGCCAGGGTGGCAGCCCGAGGACAGCAAGCCTCACTAGGGATACCACTGTGCCCTAGGAGCTGGGGAGAGGGTCTGGGCTGGTGCGCCAGGGGGCAGGGCAGCTGAATCCGGCTTCCGCAGTGCCATGTGGCTTTCTGTGTGAAGGTCCAGGAGAGGGGAGTAGATGGAAGAGAACGTTTCGGAGAAAGCTAATTTTTCCCCATCGGGACACTTTCTGTTTGGGGTAGGAGAGTTCACTTTTCTTGTTCCTCTTCCTTCCTCACCTCCCTGACATAGGGGTCCCCAGGTCCTTTCTCCAATCCTATATGGACGGGTTTTTTCCCCTTGTTCAGCTGGTTCCTTACGTCACGACAATTTTTGGCGGCCTGCGAGCAGGCAAGATGGTCACGCTACAGGGAGTGGTCCCTCTAGGTGCACGCAGGTAAGGGGAGGGCCCCACGGCGGTGCTGGAGCTCAGCCCTGGAGGCAATGAGCCGGGGGTTCCTCTCTGCCTTCGGGGTCCCTGGGGGTCCCTGACTGGAAGGGCCCTTTGAGAGCCTCACCTCCCCCCAGGTTCCAGGTGGACTTCCAGTGCGGCTGCAGCCTGCACCCCCGGCCAGATATCGCCATCCACTTCAACCCCCGCTTCCACACCACCAAGCCCCACGTCATCTGCAACACCCTTCACGGTGGGCAGTGGCAAGCCGAGGCCCGGTGGCCCCGCCTGGCCCTGCAGAGAGGAGCCAGCTTCCTCCTCCTCTTTCTCTTTGGAAATGAGGAGATGAAGGTGACTGGAAGGGATGGGCATCAGAGGGTCTAGAACTTGCGTCCTTCTGCCTCCCTTCCTGCAGCTGAATTCCCCATGTCACTGTGTTGAGGGGTACTGGGAGGGGGGCGGAGTCAAGTACACAGAGAACCAAGCTGCTACCACACCCTGTTCTCAGCTGCCCTGGGTCCACATGGCCCCGTACACAGGGGGCATTCAGCAGGCTCTATGGTGCTGGCCCTGGAGAGGGCGCCGCTGAGACAGCCACAGGGAGCATCTGGAAAGCGCCTGCAATACTGGCTGCTCTAAGCCCTTAAACATCAGCTTATTGAATCCTCACAACCCACGAGGAGGGTCCTTTCATTCTCCCCATCTCACAGCTGAGAGGGCGGGGACAGCGCGAGAGAATCTGACCTCAGTGTTCTTTTAATCACTGATGTAAACTCCTGCCAGAAGGATCTTGAGGCTTCTTCAGGGAATAGGGAGCTGGAAGAAGCCAGCAGTGGAGGGAGGGGCCTGTGGACAGAGGTCCCCTTTCCCCACCTGTGGATGGGTACTCTGCTGCTGGGACTGCTGGCAGGTCAGCTGCCAGGCGGAATGGGGCCTGCGTGGGGAAGTGCTGTGTCAGGGGCAGGGGTGGGCAGTGAAGGTGCCGCCATGTGCCGGCTCTGCAGCCTTGGGGGAAATTCCAGTAAGAGTGCTCATGGTGCCTGGCACGTTAGCGTGAACTCAGGAACATCAGCAGCTGCCAGGCCAGCCTCCATCTGTCTCTCCAGGTGAGTGTGAACGGACGACACTTTCTCCACTACGCATACCGGCTCCCGCTGTCTCGGGTGGACACCCTGGGCATATATGGTGACATCTTGGTGACGGCTGTTGGATTTCTGAACATCAATGTAAGTTCCTTGGAGGCTGACGCCTGGAAGGCAGAGGCCTCTGACTTCCCCTGATGCCTGCCTAGGCCTGGGACACCCTCCCACTCCAGACGAGCCTTATCAGCGCAATTATAACCAAGGTGGAAGGGCTTTGTAGAGGTGGTGGACACGAGGCGGGGTGAGGTGACCACAGAAAGCAGAGCTAAGAGCCTCGGGCAGCAGTCTGTACTGGGCGTGGGGTGTGGTCCACATGGAGGAGCCATGGCCAGGAGGCAAATGACTTAGAGGCTTGGAGCGGTGGGACCGAAACCTAGCAGTGGCTGTATGATTCCCGGCTGAGGGGCTTTATTCAAAAGGCAGATTTCCGGGATCTGCCACCAGAGATTCGGATTCAGGAAGTCTGAGGTGGGGCCCAAGAATCAGCATGTTCAAAATGCCAGGTTTCAGAAGCCCTGACGGGGCCTCCGGGGAGATGCGGCGCTCTCAAGGCCAGAGCTCGGCCTCTGCCGGCTTCCCAGGCACAGCAGGCCAGGCGGGAGCCAAATAAATCGCTCCAGGGCTTGCGGTGGAGCCGAGTCCGGCTCGTTGCTTTTTCTCTTTCCCAACAGCCATTTGTGGAGGGCGGCAGCGAGTATCCGGTTGGACACGTGAGTCTCTCGGGAGCTTGGCTGGCGCTCGCGGTCCCAACCACACTGGCTGCCCCGCTGGCTCTCCCTCCTCCCGGGGCCTGACCTGCCCCTCGCTGGCCGCTGCTCACGCGGCCCAAGGCCCAGCTGCCACCCACCTCAGTGCGCGGTTGCCATGGATACAACTGGCCCCGTCGTAGTCCCTGGGACCCGGGATTTGCCCCTCCCAGCGCCGGGGCGGTTCGGGAAGACGGATGCGGTGGGCTGGCTGCCCGGAAACGCCGGGGCCCCAGTATTCCCATCAGAAGCCTCGTCTCAGCTGGAGCTCTCAGCTCTCAGCAACCCTGCGAGGCTGCGGGGTTGGCCTGCGGGGCAGAAGGGGAGATGAGGCCCAGGCCCTCGCCCAGAGCCACAGGGTGTGAATGACAGACCCTCCGCCCCGTCCCCCCCCCACCCATTATTTCGGACCTCGTGTCCCTCTGAATTCAAAGGGACCCCTCTGGGGCTCCACTTACCTGCATTATCGCTCAGAGAGGCAAACCCCAAGTATCCCCAATTCTTAAGAATAAAGTCCAGAGGTTCTTTTTCACGGAGCAAACAGCACGTGGCCTCCATGACCCCTCTTTCTTCCCTTGACAGCCTTTCCTGCTGGAGAGCCCCAGGCTGGTGAGTGACCTCCCTCCTCGTTCTGGTGGGGGTACAGTCCCTCACCTGCTCCATCAGAGGTGGAAGGGCACCCCCAACTGGTGGGAAATGCCCTCAACATCAGGGTTTCCTTCCTGTTCCAGGGGTCCCTGGCCCCTGAGGGCAGCCCATGAAGCGATTCCTGCGCGTGGGAGCCCTCGCCACGCCCCTCTGTGAGTCCTCGTCTCAGTTATCTCCTGTGTTCCCTCAGGAGGTGCCCTGCTCACGTGCCCTTCCCCGGGGCCTCTGGCCTGGACAGGTCATCATAGTGCGGGGGCTGGTCTTGCCAGAGCCGAAGGAGTAAGTGTCAGAGGGAGGGGTATAAGCATCTTTGGTCTCTTTAACCTTCAGCACGAACTTTATAAGCATCACCTCTTTAATCTCCAGCACCACTACTTCATCCCCACCTTACAGATGAGAAGTAAATTGCCCAGGGTCGCACAGCTTGTGAAAGTCTGATCTGTGATTGGTACAGGGTTCAGGCTGCTTTCGTGGCCCCAGCAGCCCCAAATCTGGGGGTATCTTCCCTGCCTGTACATCTGTTCAGGCCAACCAGCCTCTCCCCGCAGGTCCCAGCTGGAGCCTCGGGAAAAGCCCTGTAAAGGCACAGGCTGAGACCCAGGGAGAGGATGCGACCTCCCACAGTGACATAGTGCCCTGCTTTAGGAAACAGAGCCAGGCGGCCCCAAAGAGGAAGCCCTGTGCTGCAAAGTGGACACTTGGAGGGACACAATAACCAAGTGGATGCTGCTAACCTCTCCGACAGAGGGCGCTCCCGCTCCATTTCCCAAACCTGTGGGCTCCAAGTCAAGTGTCTTTTTCTTTTCCTTCTTTCCTTCCTCCCCTCCATCCTTCCTTCTTCCTGGAATTGCATTGGACTTCATGACTTTTCTGAGCCAGATTTCCTGGGTTTGACTTCTGCTGAGGACACTTACTACTTGCACAACTGCACAGCAGTTCCTTTTCCTTTCTGTGCTTCAGTTTCCTTGTGTGTACAAAGAGGTAAAAATAGTGCCGCCTTCAGGGATGGTATAAATGCATAGAACTGTGCCAGGCACATAGCATGTGCTCCACAACTGTGATGGTGCCACAGTCCTTGTGCTGGAGGGGCAGGGGAGTAAGAAAAACACCTCGTGTTCTCCTTGCCTGATCCCCTCCCGTTTGTTTTTGTTTTTGAAGTCACTGGCCTCACTCCACCCTTACCCTGCATGATCTTGATCAGGTGTGTGAATTCTGAGCAGACATGGAGGCTGTGGAAAGCATGGGCCTCCAAAGTCAGGCAGGACTGGTTGGATTTCTGGTTTTGCCTCTTATAAACTGTAGTCTTGAACAAGTCACTACACCTCTCTGAGTCTGGAGTCCTGAGTTTCCCTATCTGGTGGGGGGAGGGGGGAGATAATCCCAACACTACGGGGAAAAAAAAAGTTCCCAGTAATAGGACCCCCACTCTGCCCAAAATTTGGAGACAGGAGACCAGGTTCAGATCTTTGCTCAGGGTCACATGGTTATGATTAGTAGCAGCAAGTGATTTTACTGCTCTCTTTCAAGGGCCAGGAATTCACATGTCCTCAGGGGCCAGGCAGGTCACAGAAATACTGAGGCACCAGGCTGGGAAAGCTGGTGTAGTGGGAAGAGTATTTCCATAGACTCACTCATGCCAGACCTTCTATTATTTTAAAAGAGAAGCTGGAAACCATCTCTTATAAACTTTCTCATTTTTGAAAATGGTATTACTTTAAAGTTGAAGAATACTGCAGATCAGCCAGAACATTTCTACAGGCCCAGTCGGCCCCGGGCCACCAACATCCAGGCTGAGCGCAGTGCCTGGCACTTAGCCAGCTGGCAGTGAATGCCGCCTCTGTAGTTCCTGCTGTTTCTGAAAGCAACTGTGGCTTGAATTGGACGGGGGTGGGGGGTGGTGGTGGAGAGAGTTTGGAGGGTGCCAGGTTCATTTGCATTAAAAGTTTGTCCTTCTCTATCTACCTCCCCTCTCCCCAAGCGCTGAGTCTGGATGTGGCTGCAGCTTCAAAGGGCTGAAACAAGAGCAGCACCGCGCACTGGAGGGAACCCTTACCCAGTGGAGGGCGGTGCTGGACGGGGCTGAGGTGGGGGGACACTGAGGCCTCCAAGAGTTTTCAGGCCAGTGGGAAGACAAAGCCTGATCTGAGGAGGCAGGTGGGGAAGGGGGCCCCCAGCTAGTGGGTGGCAACGTGGCAATTTAATCTCAGGTGCACCTAAGATTCAAGCAGGTGGTTCCTCTCTCTCTGGCCTGTTTCCCCGAGGCCAGAATCTGCCCAACCTTCCAGCCACTCTCTTGCCTCCATCCCTCCCCTGAGGGCCAGCAGCCACAGCCTGGAAGAGCCAGGGAGCCAGGGACTGGGGGTTAGGAAGGCTGAGGCCCTTCTCCCGCCCCTTCCCGCAGTTTCACGCTCAGCCTGCGGGACGAGGCTGCCCATGTTCCTGTGATGCTAAGGGCTTCCTTCGCAGACAGAACTCTGGCCTGGGTCTCGCGCTGGGGCCAGAAGAAGCTGATCTTGGCCCCCTTTGTCTTCTACCCGCAGCGATTCTTTGAGGTGGGTCTTGGAGAGGCCTGGTCCCTTTGGGGTGGAGCACAGAGCTGCATTTGCATCCTGGAGACTGGCGGCATGTCCTGTGGGCCGGGAAGCCAGAGCCCCTAGCAGAGGGAAGGTCTATGCCAGGGCTCCACCCTCCACGCTGGTGCTGGGGTCCCGTGCCCAGAAGCCCTGGGGAGATGCTGGCATCGGCATTATTGAAAAGCCCCGCTAGTGACTCCAAAGTGCAGCTGGGGTTGAGACCACACCTCCAGGGGAATCAAGCCCTAGTACAGATGGTGAAACTGAGGCCAGGCCTGGTGACAAGCTGGGCCCCTTGTCCTGTTCTCTTCCACCTCTGGGTGCCTCATGGATCCAGTCTCTGATGGGAGGGGAGGCTGGCTGGCTGGGGATCAGGCCAGCAAAGGACGGTCTGGAAGCCTGCAGCACCTCCCGCCCTCCTTTCCCAGGTGCTGCTCCTGTGCCAGGAGGGAGGGCTGAAGCTGGCGCTCAATGGGCAGGGCCTGGGGGCCACCAGCCTGGGCCAGCAGGCCCTGGAGCAGCTGCGGGAGCTGCGCATCAGTGGCAGCGTCCAGCTCTACTGTGTCCACTACTGAGGAGGGATCCAGAGGGCTGGCCAGAGAAGAGGAAGGCCCTCCTAAACCCAGGATGGCCCCGCTCTCCTCCTCTCATCTCAACATCCACCTGTCACCTGGTGTCAGGCCTGGCTCCCTACTGGAGCCAGCAGCCTGAGTCTGCAGGGGCTTTGGACTGCCCAGCAGAGGGTAGGCACAAGAGTGTGAGCGTTCAGAAATTCTGCAGCTCCCTCCACCAGGAGCCTGCGATCTGGTTCTGCCTTCCTTCAGGGCCTAGACAAGGAAGCAGGCTTTGTACTCTAACGAAGATATCCCCCCAAAATAGTGGCTGAAAATGTAGAAATTTATTTCCTTCCTATCTAACAGTTCTGGAGAAAATAGTCCGGGTCAGTAGGGCGTCTCTGCTCCATGGATCTTAGGGGTCATGCTAGTCATCATCCCACCATCCCCGGGGCGTCAGCATCACCTGCATGCCAGAAGCTCTAGGTTTCAACCACTGAGAAGACAGATAGAGAATATGGACAAGGTCCACCTGACAAGGTACGCCTCAGGCCTGGGCTTGGCATACACTGTTACACTCACGTCTCAGGGGCCAGTGCTCAGATACCCAGCCCCACTATCTGCAAGGGAGGCTGGAAGTGTTCTCCGGCCGGAAGGCCACGTGACCGGCCACAGTTATGCTACTGGGCTTCCCGGTACGTTTGGTTTTACTTACACCATCTTATTTTGTGTCATGTATTTACCATTGCTATTTTTTCCTTATAATTTCTGCTTTCTTGCTTACTGTTGGATTGATGAAGTCTTCTTTACCACCTCCTCTGCCTTTTTTTCTTACATGGACTTGGAAGTTATGAATTCCATTTTACACTTCCAGTGGTTACCCCTAATCTTTATTTTATTTTCTTATTAACACAATATAATTGACTTTTGGGGGTGGGTAACATTCTGAGTTTTAATATGTATGATGATTTGTGTGACCACTTCCACCATCAGGATATATAACAACTCCATCATCCCCCAAAATTCCCCTGTGTCACTCCTGTGTACTCACACCTCCTCCACCCCTTCCCCTAACCCCCGGCAACCCACTCATCTCTTCATTATCATATTTTGTCTTTTTGAGAATGCCATATAAATAGAATCATATGGGGCATGACCTTTTGAAACTAGTTTATTTGAACCAGTATTATCCTTTTAAGATTCATTAAGTTGCTGTGTGTATCACCGACCCACTCCTGTTTATTACTCAGTAGTATTCCATTGTACCACCATTTGTTTATCTGTTGACCCACAGAAGAACATTTCAGTGGTTTTCAGTTTTTGATAATTATGAAAAGAGCTGCTAAAAACTTTTGTTTACAAGTCTTTGTATGAACATGACTTTTCATTTCTTTAGGGTTAATTCCTACTAGTGGAATTGATGGGTCGTATGGTAAATGCATGTTTTAACTTTATAAGAAACGGCCAAGCTATTTTCCAGAGTTGTTTCAGAGTATCTTTGGGAATTTGGCATTCCCACCAGGAATGTATCAGATTTCCAGTTGTCCTGTCTTCTCATCGGTACTTGTTATTGTCAGTGTTTTTATGTTAGCCATCCTCATTGGCGTGTCGAGGTATCCCATTGTGGCTTTGATTTGTGTTCCCCTAATGGCTACCGATGTTGAGCACGTTTTCATGTGCTGATTTCCATCTGTGTATTCTCTGTGGTGTAATGCCTGTTCAGATCTTTTCTCCATTTTTAAATTGAGTTGCTTGCTTTCTTATCATTGACTTTTAAGAGTTCTTTATATAGGCTGGAGAAACGTCCTTTGTCAGATATGTGATTTATAAGTAATTTCTCCCAGTCTTAGCTTGTCTTTTCAGTCTGTAAACGGTTTCTTTCACAACAAATTTTTTAATTTTGATGAAGTCCAAGTCATCATTTTTTTCCTTTTATGGATTATATTTTTGGTGTCATGTCTAAGAATTTTTTTGCCTAATGAAGATTTTCTCCTTTGTTTTCTTCTAAAAGTTTTGTATTTTATAGTTCACACATAGACCTATGATCCATTTTAAGTTAATTGTTAAATGTGATGTGTAGTTTAGGTCGAAGTTTATGAGGGTGTTTTGTTTGTTTGTTTGGTTGGTTTGATTTTGCATTTGGATGTCTGATTATTCCAATAACATTTTTGAAAAGACTGTTTATGCTCCATTGAAGTGCTTTTGCAACTCTATCAAAAATCAATAAAATTAGTCACTCCCTCACACCATAGACAAAAATAAACTCAAAATGGCTTAAAGACTTAAACATTAGACAAGACGGTATAAACTTCCTAGCAAAAACATAGGCAAAACACTTTCTGACATAAATCTTAGCAATGATCTCCTAGGGTAGTCTACCCAGGCAATAGAAATAAAAGCAAAAATATA